TGTTCTAGGGCAGGGCCTGGCCTGGAATACTTTGCATATTTGTCAAGAGGTTGAGAGGATTATTTGTGTTTTTCTTCCCTGATAGTCACATGGTAAGCGTGGTTGCCTTGGTGATGAAAGGTGTCTGGCTTTTGTAATATTACTTGTAGGTACCTGAAAAGGAGAAGTGGCTGAAAGTTGATCATAAATGCAGCAGGGGCTGTAGGCATCAGGGCCACTCCGGGAGAAAGGGTTGGGGCTATATAGTGCTTCTCCACCAGCCTTCTGAGGCAGGCAAACACATTCAAGACCCTCAGAGCATGCCACCTGACCATTCCTGGCAGCGGGCTTGCCTTCCGAAAGGTTACCTGGGCCAAAGTGCTTATTTTAAGCAAATTTGCAGCCAATCCCAGAATGCTCCCTACCTATTATTACCTGCTGCCCAAGCACTGGAGTGGGACTGGCTTTGGAAACTTTCTGCCCTGTGTGTGATCGGAAACCTCACCAACTGTTCTTGCTGCTTTATTTTCATAAGCAAACCTGAAGTCAAGAAGTCGGCAGCTGAGGGAGTTCCAGGGCTCCTTTGGGAGCACAAAAAAGCAGAGTCAGAATCACAGGCAGAACAAGCATACCAACAAATGCCATCTAGAATGTTCCAACTACAGCAGGGAAAGAAACGGAATGCTTCTGCCAATACAATCTGGAGAGATGCTTGACATCAGCAAGCAGAAGCCACAGTGAAACTGCCCAGCAGCAGACAAGACATTCTTTTTTCCCCCTTGTCTAGTTCTTTTTATTGTTTTTTAAAAAATTCTTTATATACATTACATCCTGACCACAGTTTTGCTTTTTCCATTCCTCCCAGTCCCCCTCCCCATAACCTTTCAGCTCCTCTAGATCCACTCCTCCTCTTCCCTTTAAAGACAGGGGTAGGGGGAGAAGGAGGGAGAGAGACTACAGGCATCACAGGGACACTAACTAAACACGGCATAATAAATTATAATAAGCTAGGCACAAACCCTCATATCAAAGTTGGACAAGGCAACCCAATAGAGAAAACGGGTCCTAAGGGGCAGGCAAAAGAGTGAGCAACACGGCCCCCACCCACCAACACACTGTTAGGAGTCTCACAAGACCACCAAGCTACGCAACCAGAAACCATAACCCACATGTAGAGGACTTAGGTCAGAGGCATGCAGGCTCCCTGATTGTTCAATCTCTGTGAGCCCCTACGGGCCCTGCTTAGTTGACTCTGCGGGCTGCATTCTTGAGGTCAGACAAGAAATTCTAAAGAGATACTGTGTCCCAAATACTAAAATTTCCTAGGGAGTATCACACTGAGGAAAGGAAAAAGATGAAGCCTGGCGCTGGCTAGAGGAGGAAACTGTCTCCCAGGAAGAGATTTCACACAGTTCTGGCAACTTATCATATGACTATTTAACAGGGTACACTGGAGCCAGGTAATGCTATTGGATGGCGTGTGTGTGTGTGTGTGTGTGTGTGTGTGTGTGTGTGTGTGTGGTCGTACCATGATATGACTACCTAGTTATGCTTACCGTTTGCCCTGTATTTAAACCCACCTCCAGTGGGACTCAGGGCTGCTAGACCTCTTCCCACTGTGGCAGGCCGGTTGAATAACCGCCCTTTTCCCAGTATTACTTGTCTCTTTAGTGGCACACTGGGGCCAGTGGGCAAGCCTTTGATCTACCAGAGCCCAGGCTTTGAGCCTGAAAACTCCATTAACAAAGCTCACAAATGACTCACCCTCTGGAATCCCAAATCGGATTATGGCTGTGGGTTTCAACATTACTATCAACACCATTTTTCAGTGGTTTTGTCTTGTGTGTGTGTGTGTGTGTGTGTGTGTGTGTGTGTGTGTTTTCTTTAATTCACTTAATTTCTGCCCGCCCTACGGGAGGAGGGAGGAGCAGTTAATAAATAATCTCTGATCCAGCATGGCCACACAGCATACAGTTGCAGTGTAGGTGTTCAGCATTACCTTTCACATAGAGCCAGGAAGCTTCCGTTATCTTTTGATCAGGGTTGGGCTCATTTTATTTTTTTCTGTCCAAAGGGCAGAGTGCAGCAGGAGAGCCATAATCCCATGCAACGAGTTTTATTTTTAAGCCCAGGATATGACAAGTTCTTTCATCTATCAAAAACTGAAACCCTAAGGTCTTGTGTATATGAGGCAAGGGCTCCACCACTGGGCTATGTGGTTATTTTAAGTAACAACAGGTATAGTATAGTATAATAGTATAGTATAGTATAGTATAGTATAGTGTAGTGTAGCCATTCTGATCACATAAGACACCAGAGAACAAGAAACTTCGTCCCTTACTTGTGTCACCCCTTCCCCATATTCTCCTAGAAACAATGACCAGCTCTGTATTCTCCCAAGTGAAAAAAAATTTAAGCTATCCAAATAATCTACCTTGTGGTGTTTAAGTAGGGGTTCTTTTCTGGGCTTGGGGTGGAGTGGGTAAGGGCTTCAAGATAATGTAACAGCTAAAAATCTATCAAATATCATTTATGTTTCCTAGATATATACAGTGGTGGCTTAAGGAGATAATCATATTTTTTATCCTAGCACTTGGGAGATGGAGGCAGGAGGATCATGAGAGACTGGTCTTGGGTACACAGTGAGACAAACCCTGCTCTTGTTGGGGGATGGGGAGGAGGAAGAAGGGAGGATGAATTAGGGAATGCTGAGGAAGACAGGATCTTCCTTCACAGATGAGGGAAAATACGTCTTCTCCCATCGAAGCCCTACGGCTTCCACTGGTGGGTAAAGAACTGCCAGGAACGCCTCAGAAGCGAACATGCTTTTCACATTCCAGAAGATGGCCACATGGAAAGAAATCACACTCTTCAGGGTCCCATGCAAACACATTTATAGGCTTTGCACTGCAGTCACAGTGGTGAAAGGGCCCATGGCTTGCCTCTGTCAGGGAGGAAGAGTGGACCCCACACATCACAAAGCATCAGTTACTGGGACAGGGACTGCCTGCTTTCTATTTCTTGAAAAAAAAAAAATCTGCTACTTGATTCGGCAGTGCACATGCTAAAATTGGAATGATACAGAGAAGATTAGCATGGCCCCTGAGCAAGGATGACACACAAATTCGTGAAGCGTTCCATATTAAAAAAAAATCTGAAAATCACATTTGTTTATTTATTTGTATGTGTGTACACACTGTATGTATGGGAGCAAGCATGCCATGGTGAGCACACCTATTAGGAGTTGGTTAGGAGTAGCTCCTGAGTATGGGAAGGGTTTGATACTAAGTCCCTTTACTCACTGAACCTTGCCACTGGTCCTGCTGCCAATTTCTAACTTTAAACATGGGGACAACGGCTGGAAACTTCCTCACTGTGAAGCATGCAAAAATATTCCACATAAAAAGACACTCCTACTAAAATTCAAATTCATTACAAACAAGTCTCTCAACTTAAGACCCCATCGGCTACAAAGCCACCTGTCTTGGAAAATAATAAATACAGCATCTACTTTTTACCCTAGAAGGGTCCAGAAGAGAGAAGACCAACACTACCAGCCCTACCACTTTAGATGTCAGAGTTCATTTCCAGGTCTCTGGGTCTAGGTTAGACTTCGGGGTCAGCACAACTACATATTTCTCTTTCCAGGCTAAATCTCAATTACAGGCTGTAGCACAAATCATCACCATCCCCATGGAAACCCACCATCAAAACCCTAAGGATTATGGCTCCTCCAGGAGGAGGGAGGACCAGAACAGCACCCTAAGGGTGTTTGGAAGCAGGACAGTCTTTACCTAGAAGGAGGCTGCTTATGATGCAACTCAGGAATTGTCTTCCCTGGGTCCTAGAAATAGGGCAGAACACCATAATGTGGGCTGCTGAGATTCAAAACACTTCTGCCCTGGAGAACATGGCATCAGTGAGAAGCAACAGGGACAGAGATGACCTGTATCACATCACGATGGCGGTGTGTACTCTACAGCAGCTATGCAGTTTAGCAAGTTCTGTTGTGGAATGAGGTGGGTAGGTGGCAACAGGGCCTAACTTTGATTACAGAAGTACCCATTGGCCAACCTTCCACTCCCGAACCCTTCCTTCTGCCCACTGCCAGTGGCTGGAAGAACCAGTGCATCCTGAGAGAGGAGGGTGGTTCCTGCTATTGTTGTAACTCCTACCTCTTTATTAGGAGCCACCAAACTTAGACCTAAGAGCTGGTAAGAGACACGAAGAAAAAAACACATGAAAGGCAGGGGAAGAACAATTTGGATGGAGATGGCTTAGC